CATAGCTGTGGAAGCATTTTTCACATAATAAAACAAACCCCGATCCCTTACCACCTACCTTAGTTATTCATTTGGACACAGCTCCTAACATTGATGAAATGGTTTAAAAATGAACTAAAAACTTAAAGTCAACATTTCTTTTTAAGTTTTTTACATTTGTAATATTTTAGGCTATATAAAATTATACCATATAATCTAAAAGTAAAGAAATATTTAAAAAAAATCATGTTAAAATAAATAAATAAATAAATAAATAAATAAAGAGAATATGTTACATAGTAAATCTAGAAATCCATTAATTAAAAACGTAATAAAAAATAAACCGTTGGTTTGGTAAAATAAAGATTAAATAACTTTAAAAGTCTGATTTTTATGCCGAAGATCACGGAAAATAAGTTTTATTTATAGTTTATAGTTTTATGTGGACCTTGTGGACCTTTCGACTTGAAGGGAGGCTGATGTGGGACTTTTATATATTCTGGGAGACATGGGACACTTTGAATATATAGACTTCCTGACAAGAACATTTCAGAGATAAAATAAAACAAAATATGACCTTTTCTGATTCTTTTACTGATCAACCAAAATGAAATCTTAAAGTTAGCATCTTCATATTTAATATTTGCATGTTTTTAGACTAAAGCTGGCGGTTTAATGATAAAATTTTTTATCCAGAAAGCTCACTAATCCAAAAGTGGCTAAACGTTATGACAGGAGCACCTGAGGTGATCGTGAACTCACCTGCTCCAGGTCGTGGTCGTTGAGCAGATGGAGCTCGCGCGACTTGAAGCAGTTCTGACATTTGCTCTTATTAAAAATATTCGCCTGGAACTTGCTGCAGGGAGTCGCCGCCGCCTTTTCCCCGGACATGTTTCGGTGAGCGCCGCTTCTCCTCCGCGGGGACAGATCCAGACACGGCCCGCTCTCCTCCTCCTCTTCTCGTCTCCCAGTTTAGTAAAGCGGTTTCTCCTCGAACAACATCTGTCACACTGAGCCGCGCGCTCCTGTCGTCATGGCCTCTGACGTGATACCGCCACTCCGCTTCCGATCGAAACCTTCAAAATAAAGCTGGTTTTTAACGGTTTGTTTTAGCTTTAAGATAAAACACACTGCTAAAAAAACACATACAGCTATTACACATCCATTAAACCGTAATGTTTTATAAAAAAAAAGAGAAAGGTAGAGTTTACAGCGTCATCTACTTCTCTCACAGCGGCTTAAGTAAGACCTGCGCTCAACTTCCGGCTTACACCTACAAAGTAAAATCGATTATTAATGGAGTTTCCTTCCTTAATTCTTAATTTTTACAGAAATGAATATTAATTAACTAATAATGATTGATTAATAATTAATTATGTTTAAAACAACATATATTTGAGCAAAGTTGAGGATAAAGTTTGAAAAAAACAAAGCGGCGAAATCACCTCATCTTCCGGTCACACCTACAAACTAAAACTCATTATTATAGTTTTTTTTTTTTACCATTTTGTTTTTCAAAATACTTCACTCCAAACACACACACACACACACACACACACACACACACACACACACACACACACCTGACTAATAAAGTTAATTTAAAAAGTAAATAAAAATATTAATTCTTAAATAAAATAAGTGAAATCTGACTTTGTACCAAAATATTACACCTGGACAGAACCTACAAAGTTATTGTTTCCTTATAAATGAGACACATACTCTAAAGAAATACATCAGAAATACATAATATCAGAAATAATAAACTGCTGTTTTCATGGCATTTCAACAAAAGTACAACATACAAAATATTTTTTTTCTTAATGTCCCCGAAACAGCTTCTTGTTTATAAAATTACCAGAAGATCCAGTATGCTAATAATAACAAAATCAGTTTTAAATCATATTCATGTGGGAGGTTCCGATATTACATAGAACTCTGATGAAGATGAAAAAAACAAACATATAAAATAAAAAAATAAAAATTGTTTTTATTTATTTCTCCAATTGTGAAATTTTGCTGAAACAATAAAGATTTAAAACATAGCACATTTATTCTGAAATGTAGACAAGCATTGGCCAGGTATCCTATAATATCAGTACATCATACCTGCATTGACAGGAGTCATACGATGCATATCTACATTAATACTGTAATACTGCGCTGTAATAGGCTTTATTTATTTTGACAGTATAAACAGGAAATGAAAGGACACATTACATCTAGTTTGAATATAGAAACTGACCTTCAGAGCAAAACTTGTTGTTCTTACCAACACTCATAATTTGGATACTAACACTATACACAAGTTCAGAACAGCAGTGATGCAATCACATTAACTTAAATCTTTCAAAATAAAAGACTGCTTTCTAAAGTTCTACCTGTAATGTTTACAGCACTTAGAATCAGAGGGAGAGCAGCTGGATGTAAAATTTATCTCATGAGAATAAAGGAGGTGAAGGACCACACAGTAATTAACACCACATATATTAAGCCAACATTATAATCAGTGAAACACAGCAGGTGCTCATAAAAGAGTGACCTCTGGTCTCTCCATCCATCTATAAAGGGTTAACATTAAGGAGAAACTAATTATTATATCAATAATCTTATCATTCATCTTTATTTAATGGGTATGTTCAAATACATCTCACAGATAGTTCAGAAATAAAAACATCACAGCAGCAGCCAGGCGGTGGATGCAAGCATTTATTTGAGGCGATGGCGTGGAAGGATGGGGAGTCGTACAAACTAAACATGTTTTAAACCTTTGAACCATTCAAAACTGTAGAAAATACAGCAGTGTGTTTATCACCATCTGATGTGTTCTGTTTATTACAATAAAATACACGTTTGCCTACAGAACATCGCTGCATGTGCAAATACGGGCTTTCCTTCCAGTCTCTGGTGTCTTAGTTCATATTTGTGCCTGCACTTTCTAAGCAGATTTAAGATACTTCAGAATAAATTAATTTCATACATTTTCTTCAACAGATGCAAAACAGCAGCACACAAACAATAAAGCTTAAAAAATGCTCAGTTGGCTATCTACACAACTTAAAGGTGCTTTTCTCAGCATGTGTTCATCTGCTTCGTGGTTTTAATTAAGACCATGGTTACTTCGTCTGATTTTGAAAATTAATTTCTGAATATTTATGGTTAGACGGACACAGTCGACCTTTTGTTAAACCCTTGCACCTTTTTTTACTGTCACTACAACAGGTTATTCACAAAAATAACGCAGGAAAGTGACATGATGTGTGGAAACTGATTAAAACCAACAACGGAAGAAGCGAAAATTACTTTTTTGAATTTTAACTTCTAGTCCCCCAATCATGGACTTCCTGTTTAATAGAAAGAGACCCAGTCAAGCAGCAGAAGGCGAAGATTTTATGAGCCGAATCTGCCTCCCTGTAAGAAAAACTAACCATTTAAGTTAGGACATTTTATCAACACTAGGTACTAACTAATACTAAAACTAAGATACAACATAAACATTTTTATTAGCTGTTTGGCTCCATTCATTCAGTTCATTGAAAAAGTCACACTCAGCCCCCTGCTGGTCTTCTGGATGAACTACAGCCACCTTTGGGAATACCAGGAAGTGGAATCGCTCTCTAATAAATGTAGAAAACGTGTTAAAATGTATTTAAAAATCGTATTTAAAGGTCTGAAACACTGCTGCATCCCCTATGAAGGCAGCAACGTATAAAATATTTCTGTATCCGAGTTTTAGTAAAACCGCTAGCTTTCATGACTGATCACGAGTTCTGATCTTTACCCAGGTCAAAGTTATCAGTAATCAATAATAAATCAAGCTGAAAAGTGCTGCAAATAATGATGGAGCTACACAGCTTGGCCAGAAGGAGGCGTTTTTGTTTTTTTACCTGTAACCTAACAAAGTATCACAACAGCCAAATACACATTTGTTGCTCTAACAAAGTTCCTCTAAAAATAGCCTCACACCTTGGCAGACATCCTGAAACTGCTCTGGGCACTTTTTTTGTGAAGCATTATCAAAATTTACTTTAATTTCAGTGACGAGCGGCACATTAAAACTGCTTGTGGAGAATCACAAATCGAATCTGATAAAAAAAAAAATTCCCCAGATGCTGTCTGCACTTCTCACATTGTATTTTTTAAAAACTTTGATGTTTTTTTTTTTTCATTCTTCCCAAAATTGGCTAATCAGAATAAGGTAAGCTTTTTGGGAAGGAAAGGGGGGGGGGGGGGGGTCTTAAAGACGCAGGATCTACAATGGTGTGTTTCACAGAAAGGATGAAAGTGAATAACAGTGTTTTTGAACAGAATCATGCAGAGCTGCTTTAGTGGAGTCCCAGAATAAAGGTGCAGAGTTAGAAATGAGAATCACATACACCCCTCAGGTGGAGGGTTTAACCATGGGTCAACTGTCCCTTTGTCTGATCAAAAGTTTCCAGCTGAAACTTTTCAAATTTGATTTTGATTACTCTCGAATTAAAGCAGCTTTTAGTGTTTCGCCAATCGAATGTATCTCTGACAGTATTTACAAAGTCGCCATTCAGGCTTTACTGACATGAAACAAGTCAACATTTGGTCTATGTAAGCAGCACACAGCACTGTATATGTTTAAGGAACATTAACATGTGACATATATAGCAGGAAATATTACTCTCGAAAAATAAATAAATAAATAAATGAACACCTTTCTTTTTCTCAAAGCCACGGAAGAAACATTACGATGGCTTTTCAAACCCGAAATGAACGTTTGTGCTCAGGAAGAAAATCCAGACATTTGACGGTTGTTTTTTTTCTCGTACAGTGCATACTTGATAGATAGCTACTCTGAAATTGTCAGGCAGTATTAGTGTAGGTAAGATACATGTCACATTCATTCTACAGCAAATGTTATGTATACTACAGTATCTTTTAAGTTCAGAATGAGTTCACTCACAGTCTGGGTGTTAGGCAAAAGCTGGAAGTTATTTAGTACTGAAGACACACACACACACACACACACACACACACACACACACACACACACACACACACACACACACACACACACACACACACTGCAGTCCAGCAATAAAACTGCTCCAGCTCTGGTCTCTAAAGGACAGGATCACGACGATCAGAGGAGGAGGGAAGCAGACTGACGCCCAGCCCACAAACAGAAAACGAGGAGGAGGGACGTGTCTGTGCTTTCAGAACTCGTGTCTGTGGTACATGTCGGGGTCGTAGTATTTGGTGACCACCACTCTGTTGGCAAACTTGCGTCCAGTGAGGGCTTGCATGGCTTTCTGACAGTCTGCAGCAGAGACGTACTCGACGAAGATCTGAAATGAAAAAGCGCCGGTGAGTCCCGAAGAATCGATGCTACTTACGCTTTATAATATATTTTCTGGCTATAAATCCAACGCCCCCTCGATGGCGGCTCACTGGACATGTACAGAGTGTATAAACATCACCTTTCCGCAGCCGGGTACTTCCACGCCGTCGACAGGCCTGGGGATCTCGATGGAGCGGACAGTGCCGTACTTGCAGCACTCCTCGCGGATGTCCTCGAGGATCTCCTCGTAGTCCTCGTCGTCCACCAGCTCCTCGGGCATCACCATATTGAGAAGGCACAGCACCTCTGTGGGCATGCCAGAGTTCTGGAGCCTCTGAAGCCCAGGCACCTGCAGCGTCACCGGCGTCTCTATGATGGAGGTCTGCAGCGCACACACAGCATAAAAACGCTAAAGCTGAGGCCTCAAAGTGCAGAATCCAAAACCAGCGACTGGCAGCATTCCTCTTTTATACACAGACTGTGCACATGATGCAAAAAATGAGACCACAGGTTCATGTTGCCACTTGTACTCACAGGATTGGCGTTTTTAGCTCCCACACTCGCCCTCTGGACGATCAGCTTTTTGTCGCCCAGCTGCATCCCATTGAGCCCGGCTACAGCCTGATGAAGAGCAAACAGACCTGTAGCCAAACAGCACAGCTCAAGATCCCACCAAAACACTTCGTCACCGTTACCTGATCGGTGGCGCTGATGTCTACGTATTCGCAAAAGGCGTAACCTTTCGACAGTGACGTGGCACTGTCCTTCACCAGGTTGAACGCTTTGAGCGGCCCGAACGACGTCAGGAGCTCCTTAACCTGCAAACAAGAGTCCGGGAGCGAGATCTGAGCTGGAGAACTCACCGCTGAATGTGTTTGTCTACTCAGTGAATTCTAAATGTCCATTTGAGACTCGAAAGCAGTTTAAGACCACGACACATAGAAGCAGAATGTGAGTCACTCGTAAGGTGCTGGGCTGATCTGTACACACTGCTGGAGCATTTTACACTGTAAAGATTTCTCACTACTACGCTGCTTCCTGGGAAAACTCAGGAACAACACCAGCACATAAAACTGTTCAAAGTCCTGAGAATGATCAATAACCCTGCAGCTTATTTCACTTTGTCGGTTAATCAATTAAATACAGGCTTTGAGTCATTTCCCCATTTTGCTGAAACAGTGTTTCCCACATATAGAATTTCCTTTGGGCTGGTAAAGGTATATCTGGGGATTGATTTAATAGTGCTGCTTATATTTTGAAAATGTAATCGCTGCTGCCTGGCTTGATGTGCAGGAAGCTGTGATGGCGGCCTTTCACGTCATTCAGCTGCTCACAGGAAGTGACAATTCCTCGCTTCCTAGTCATAATCTATGAATAAACCATACATGCAAGCAGGGTGGCATTTTGGTAGATGAGCCACGGAGTCGGCACCTCCTCATTTACATTAACTATTTGGGCTACTTTATGTAAATCAAGCTAATCTGGTTATATGACTCCTCTGAAAACTAGAATAAACACAGAGATGCTTGTGTCTCACCTCTAATGTGTTTTTTCTGTGTTTTAGTAACCTGCAAGAAAGCCTCCAAGCAAGCTGCCATGCTGGTTTTGTTTGGAAATCTACATCAGTACAGGAGGCTAAAGGAGAGGCACAGCACTGATGTCTCTTTCTAATCACTCTTGAAAAAAGGTTGTACCAGGAGTTTATCATCCTGCAGTCCAACGGACTAACCCAGCTGCACTGCAACTATCCCTGGCAGCACCGGTCCTTCTCCTGCTCTGGAGAACCTACTGTGAGGCTGCAGAGCAGGACGAGGACGACTGTCACCAGCTGCAGTTAAAGATGGTGGAGTCGGAGTCTGTTGTGCTATTGGATGATAGACTCCCTGGAGAGGCAACAAGCAAGTACTACATAATCCTCATTTCTGATTCTTTCCATGACCATGATTTACTAAACGTTCTATAAGACCTGAAATTAGTGACCGAGGCCATAAAGTCATTAGGAAAACGTTGCTGAGGTATACAGTCGACACTCTCCTGTCCAACCAAAGGAGGAGAGAGGAGTCGCCCCCTGGAGGCTTTTACGAAGAAGGCATGCTTAAAGTTATATTGTAACTTTAGAGGGGGTTTACCTTGCAATAGAAAACACTTTGAGGAAACTGTTGTTGTGATTTGGCCTAACATAAATAAAACTGAACTGAATTCTACATTGGCTTTCAGATCAATAGGCTACATCCATGTTTTATACCATCTGTGTCTGTAACTTTGTACTGATTATTCGTAACCTTTAGTGTGTGCGTGGCTCCTCCCGAGCGCAACCACTACAAACTGAATTCAGATCTGTGGGAAACACTGTAAAATATGGAGTCTATGGATAATTTAGAGGCTGGAATGACTTAATTTTGTGGTATTTTAGCTTCAAAACAGACAATCGATTGAAGTGTTCAAACATGGTCAAATATATAAACAGATATGCATATAATAGTAATCCCATATTCAGTAGATGGTGTTAAAAAAAATAACTAAACTCCACCGACACAACCCCCAAACCTCAATGATCAATCCCTGGATCTTAAACGCGCTCCAAAAGCATGATGGGAGAAAGAAAGTAGCCTGTAAGCGACCTGCGGACTCGGAGTGTATCCGTGTGAGGACCAGAATGTCTTACTTGCCTTGTGTTACATGTTGGCATGGCAGCAGTAGATGAGTACTACTGAACAAATTATGAGCGCAGACTTAACGATCTTACAGGCCCCTAGCTGGGGACAAAGTGGGGGAACAAAAATGAAAGAGCTGTGAGTATCAACGCAGTGGCAGTGACTGCAAGTATTAAGAAAAAATAAGTCAGAGAATCACAGACATCAGGCTGCATGTGCTCTGCAAACTAACTGAGGCTAAATGAGACAGAATGGACAGTTAGAATTAAGTTTCTCTGCGTACAGGTGCACAAAACAAACTGTTTTTTTAGTCTTTAGCAAAGGGAAAGGCCACCTTTTGTTTGAGCTGCTGCAGCGTTTCTGGAGTTGTTTACTGACTTTCTACGTCCTTTCGTGAGTATGTAGTCAGGCACTAAATTTCCATTTAAAGGCATTTAAAGGTACTTTTTGTAATGACTCTTATTTTAATTAAAATCAGGGGGTGTATTGAAATGTTTCTGGGAAATTCTGATATTATTTCCAGATTTGCCTTTCCCATGATGCCACTGTAAATAACAATGTTCTTATCATTCTAGTAACTGAATGGGGTGTTTTATGAATCCTTCTGTATATCTATGAGTCTCACTGTTCCAAAACTGAGGGGTCCTGATCGCAGAACCACTTTACTCCAACAGCCAGGCCTCACCTGACACTCTGAGGCTGCGAGCTGGCTCATAAGAGCTCAGCATTTCATATTAAAGTAAAACTTTAACTTCTGAAACATGCAGGAAGCTAGTGCAGAGATGCCCTATTTGATGAACTGCTTCATTATGAGGCTAAACTGACATTTAAATGTTACATTTTAAATTGACAAACTGCACTATCTGGTGGTAAGAATTAGTACTGCACTAAAGTACGCCCAGCTGTAGCTCGATTTCAGTCGATATCTCCTCAACATTCAGAGGAATTCTCCATATAAACTTATATATATCAATCTTATATATAAGTATATATAGCATTTATATATATTAGTGCTGTCAGCGTTAATCTCGTCAAAATGACGTTAACGCCATAACCGCCTTAATGCGGCAAATCTCCGTTAGCGAGTTAACGCGGATCGCCCCGTGCAAGGGCTGCACGGCGTCAACGTGTTAGCGAGTTAATGCGTTAGTGCCGTGCAGCTATATATATATATATACATATATTGTTAAAGGCACCTACCAATCAACAAACAACAGAAAAATCCAGAAAGGCAAAGAAGAAGAATGTTTTTAACTTCTTAAGGTGGACTTTTTCTTTGATAATGACCCACTGGAATAAATACCACAAAGAAGTAAATTCATGTCACTTTAAATATACTGGACTTTGCTTACCTGTCTTAAATCAGTAAGCTTAGCATGAGAAAGGTGTAAGGAGTTTACTTATATTTAATGATTAATGTAAAATCAGAGATTCACCAAAATAAAAGTTGTGACATTATGGAACACAGGCACAAGCACTGTATGTTGTGTTGTTTTCTATTTTGTGCTTTTACACCATGCGGTCCCTTCAGCTATTTTGACTTCCATCAGAAGCCTTGTTACTCGAGACTAACCATATTTTTTTTATATATTTCTCACGTCACAAAGAAATGTGAAACGTAAAACATACTACGCATGTTTCAGGGTGACAAAAACCTCATGTGAGCGTAAAGTGAGGAAAGCTGAGCGCAGCTGTTCAGCCTGCGCTCAGATAAATACCTGGTCGTCATTAAGATAGTTGGGGAGGCCTCCTATGAACAGTTTATGAGGGGAATCGGGAACAACAGTGGAGACGACGCCTACACAAACCACGAGAAGAGAGAACAAACAAATCACAAAACAAATATGAGCTTACAAAGCACAAATGACCCATGAAGTAAAATCTAATCTGCTCATTTCCAGCTAGTAGAGTAGCTTTGCATGACTCACAGTTCAACAAGCTCCTGCCCCTTTAAACTATCTTTCTTCTGATTGGATTTCAATCAAAAGAATGTGTGGGGATGCTAAGGCTGTGTGATTAGTCAATAACGGTAATCTTGACTATTTAACACGATTATTTACTAAGCATCACATGTAATTCAAACGCAAATAAAGAAACCAATGTGGAGGTGGTGTAGAATACAGGCTTGTTCAGAAGGGGAGGTGGGGTCTGATTGGGGGGGTGGTGTTCTTGACCCTAAATCCCATCTCACAAGGTCATCCCAGGACGTCCAGGCAGCAGGACTAACATGCTTTGGGAGACCTGTGACAAAGAAAAATGGGCCAAGACCCTGAGACTTCCTTTAACCATGTGCTCATTGGGCCTCATGAAATCACAGGTGTTGTCAGATATAGATGGGATCAAGATCAAATCTAGACTGAACTAAATCAGATCTGAACTGGATTTCTCGGATAAAGCTGTGATGTCTCAATTATAATAAGAAGTTTATTCATCTCCGTCCATTTTCATCAGTCATTGTTTCATCCCAACTAGTCTACTCCCAAAATCAATACTGAAACTAAACAGAGGAGTGGCCACAGCAGAGCTAGAAGCTCACTGTGACGTCCTGCAGAGGTCTTAGCTCACATATACCGGTACTGATCTCATTATTAAAACCTCATCCTGGCTAACATGAATATCCACCATTAAAAGAACTTGTATATGTCAGGAAATAAGGTCTGGCTTCATGTAAGAACAGGTCATTTTAACTCTAACTAAATTTAATGACGTTAAATGACACTAAATAACTCTGAAGAGAAGAAGAAGAAAGCATCAGAGTCAAACCTGGGACGTGGAACGCCGGCTGCTCTGAGATTCCGGGTAACGGCCGATAGTCGTGAGGTCGTCTGATCTTGAGCGACTGACCCTGGAAAATGATCCCATCGAAGGCCATGGCCTGCGTCGTCTCATCCACAGACCGAAACTAGGAAAGAAAGTCACACTGAGTCACAGCGCCAACAAAGAACAATTCTAATAACACCTACTAACACGACTGCTTCAGCAGGAATCTGATAAATCCTACAGTGAGCCGTTACGGAGGGTGAGATTTAACCTTCGGCTCGTCTGTGAAGAATCGCAGCAGAAGCCAAAACTGCGCAGACACCACGCACATGTATGCAGCAGCCGTGAGAGCCTGCAGCGAGTCAGCACGTCGGTGCGCCTCACGTTAACTAGTGCTAGACAGCAGCTCAGACCTCTCAGACAAGCTGCTTGTGCTCAGAACTGAACATGACGTAATGTTACTGTGAGAAGGACGGGCGATTTCAACGGTCAATAAAAAATAAACAAATGAAAATGTAGATAAATAATAAGCACACAACAAATATTTTTAGAAAGTTTAATTATCTACCAACAGAAAATAATTTGTTAAAAATAGTTCGAATAATAAATATATAAGTGTTATTTATATATTCTTTACCAACCTAAAACACTGAACAGTAATATGAACCCTCACCTCTAGGAAAGCAAAGTTCTTATCCTGGTTAATCTGCACGGCGAGAACGGGGTTACTCGGGGCTTGTGAGAGTCCCGCGAGGCGCATCTGGGCGTTAAAGAACTCGGCCATGGACTCCTGAGGAGACAGAAATCAAACCTGAGGCGCCGCACCAGCAGGTCTGTTTGGTACGAATCTACAGCGACCACAAGAGTACCTCAGTCACTCCAAACGGGATGTTGCCAACGTAGAGGCGCCTGGCTTGTCTCGTCATCTGACTGCCAACTATGGGCACTTGTGTCGGGGCTGCAGCTACTCCAGTAGTGGTGGACGTTGCCAGCAGAGCTATTGTTGGAATCTGGCCGGCCGCTGAGGAAACACGAAGGAGGGACAGTGTTTGCTGCCAAATAGCTGCACACAGACGCCACTATTAATGTGTTTCAGGGATAATATCCCACAGTCAGACTGCAGAGCAACAAACACGTAGTTTTATGAAGCACAGCGAGTGTTTAAAGGTGTCAGCGTGGTTCAGAGCTCATCACAGAACAAACACGAGCATAGATTCTGTCAAATCTGATTAAAAAACTACAAAAAACATAAAATAATTTGGTCTAAATTAACACAAGCATCTCTGAATCCTCCAATCAGAGTGCTACCAGAGACCATGTTAATGGGTTATAGAATGAGATGATATGCTCATGTTTCCTGGTTTGGCTGCCGATTGGCTTTTGGAGCAGGGACAGCACTACCACCAGTACTCAAAGAGCGCCATGGCTCTCTCACAGCGTCCCTGCATTAGATAATAACAGCAGACATCTCCATCGGCCATCCCAGATCCAACCTTCACACCTACTTCACGCTGTCGCTGACCAGCTGTGCAGAAAAGAGGAAGAAGCCAAGCACTGCCTGTTCAGATCAAGCAAAGCAGAACGAGAAGCACAGACTGACAGTTTTCATCGTTTTTTAAACTCCGGTTACAAAGAAGCTCTTTGTGCGTTTTAACCTGTCTCCTCTGCAGCCGTGGCCGAGCTGAAGGATCAACAACAGCACAAACACAAACCAAAGCAACCGATTCCTTTATTTTCTTTTTACACTGGACCCTGGTGGCAGTGAACAGCAAAAACACGCAGACAGCGCTGTAAACACGACTGTTTCAGCTGGTTCAGGATTTACGGCAGGCTGTCTGACTTCTCCAGCCCACATGTAAAGTAGCAAAGCTCAGATCGGGGTTCAGTGTTGGAGAACAGATGAGTTAGAGAGCCGGGGAGCACAAAGCCGCGAAGCAGAAACTCACTGCAGCTCTGCTGAAGTCTGATTTAGAGGCTAAAGAGGCAAAGAGAACAAGTCGGGTACCTTGCATAGCTTTATATTGCATTGGTGTGATGTGTTCAAAGCCAGGAGGAGGCACGTCCCAATATTTGCAGGTCCTTTTCTTCCTCGTTCGTCTTGGAGAGTGGCTGCACGCAGAAAACACAAAAACATCTGAGTGAAACCTTTCAGTGGTTACGTGAACACACAATTAATTATTGACATATTTAATTAATAACACATTTAAATAATTATTGACAGTTTTAATTAATTATTTAATGATTTATTTATTTAATTCATTTTGGCACTTTTGTCCCCTTCATCTCTCTCCTTGATATAATTTTATCTGTCAGCCTCACCCATCAAACTAAGTGGGCGGGGTTAACACTGCCCATGCAGCTTCTCTAACATTTGATTGGTTGCCGTGCAAAGTAAGTCAAGACAAGTCGATCCTAGATAATCGATTGCTTGTGTGGGGCAGCCAGGTATCCCAGAATGAACAGGCAGCAATGGTGGTGGTGTACAGTTTTAGAATACCCCGTTTTTTTGTCACCAGCTACACTTTTAACAGTGTTTTAGCCGCGAATGTCATGGCGGAATCTTCACGTCTGGTCAGGTTGTCAACATAGAACATGTTCACAAAAGTGCTCAGATGTTTTCAGAGATGTCACTAGCTCTGCTAACAGTCAGCTGACAGAGTGCACCGAGCTCACAGCCCCCGTGTTCCAGCTTAATGGGTGGGGGTGGGGGGAGGTGTTACGTTAACCGGTTTGTTTACATATTCCACTCTCCGTGTTCCACATGTTGCATTCGCAGATTCTCATTTTCACCGAACGATCGTCTCTTTCCGCCTGGTCTTGTGTCTCTGTGCTTCTGTAACATAAAGAACGAGCTGACATTTTTCTCACGACACCAGCGATCAGCTCAACAGACCCTCAGTTTACCTGCATGCATCCTCCTCCTCCTCACCTGTCAGCTGTTTAACACCTGCTGCTAATTCAAGAGACACGCCTACGTCACCTGGTGATAGTCACAGTTTGACTGGGCAGCCGGTGCTCGATATAACGCAATGTCGGCGCATTTTTCTGCACAACATAAGTAAATATAGTTCTTTTCCCGAGCGTAGAGCTGCTGGAGCTTGTTTCCCAACAGAGCCCTTTATAGGCGAACAGCTTTATCAGCGACTGATGTCCAATCACCGGCACACAGCTTTGAAACATCACCTGAGTTTTAGCTCTCAGTGGTTAAACGCTGGACTTGATTCACTCAGGTTCTGTCTGTCGGGTCATTTTTACTTCGCTGTTTTATTTACAACTGAAAGAATCGGTTTGGCTGAGGTTAAAGTTACGTTTCATAACTGCATAGTTTTACTGAAGTTTAATGGTTCACTCTGTTAGACTTCATCATGAAGACTGCAACCTGGACAGAAATATTACATCATCAGTTTTTGCCGTGAGACTGGGCTGGGCAGACATCTCCGAAATCATCGAAGCACTTTTGCAAAGACGCTGTATCTTGACAAACCGACCAGACAATATTAAAACGGTATTTGGTGACACACAAACAGGGTTTTTCCAAAGTTCAGTTCTGTTAGTTTCAACATGCCGGTTGTTGTGTGCTAAAAACAATGGCCACCAGGCCAAACCAATGGTTTTGACTCCATCAGTGTTAACCCCGCCCCCTGGGTTTGATGGGTGAGGCTGACAGATAAAATTATTTCATGGTGAGACCTGAAGGAGTCAACTGTGCCAAAATGAATTTAATAAATTATTTAATGGTGTATTTAATTCATTCATTATGGCGTCCTGGCGTTCCATACAACTCTTTAGGTTTAAATTGTGATAAATAAATGTGTAAAACTACAGATAAAGTTCTGGTAGCTCATTGGCCAGGCCGTCCTGAGCCTTATGTTTGACACCCCTGTGTTTACTGTTTTGGCTGCAGGAATATCCAAATCTCTGGGGTAAATAAAGAGTATCGTATCTTTATGTGACAGTGATTGGAATGACATCTTTTGCTACTTTATGAATTCAAAAATATTGAATTCAGAATTCATTCATTCAGTAATGAAAATGAACATTTCTTTCACTTTGTTTATGGTCTGAGGATCTACAACCAAACACGGTGTACACGGACTCATCCTTCCTAGGAAGCCATGCAGTTTTCCACCTGTGCTTCTTGTGGTCTCGGGAGGAGCTGCGGCGATCCCGGCTCTTCCTGTCCCGGCTACGGCTGCGTTTCTCCCGGCTGCGGCTACCTCGGTCTTTGCTCCAGCTGCGATGCTTGTCACCTCGTCCGGGAGATCCGCTGCGACTCCTCTTCTTGTGCCGCTCCCTCTCTCGCTCTGTGAGGTCAGGAAAAACACGGGATGACAAACACGACAGAGCAGCGGCGCTTCTTTTTTGAGCAATAAAACCAAATGTTTTCAGGCTGTACCGACACCGCTTTACTTCAGGTACACTCCGAATGATTTTACTCGTCCACCTCACCTGAGATCAGCCTGGTTCCCAGGAAATAAAACTAAGTTGACATCTCTAGTTTCACAGGAGTTTGCCCGGAATATTGGAAAGCTTCAATAAACTCTGAGTTCAACATAAAAATTTTCCCCAGTGAGCATCCAGGCCAGTAGATCAGAGTTTTACTGGCCTCTTTTACTTACCGGCAGCTTAATTTCAAAGAATATTACTTAATTTATCAGCACATTTAGGGGATAATATAAAAGTATAAGAGAGGAAAAACATCAGCTAAAGCAGTGCTAGAGCAAATACTGAGACCGGTGGCTGGATTTAAAGATACAGACAGTTTTCATTTCTTCCTCATTCAGTTGGCTGTCGTGTCATCGCCATCAGTGACCAACCAGCCCTAACCTGCTGCTCTGGAGATGGACAACAAGGACCTTGTTATGGACAAACTTTAAACAGATGTGGATCCATGGCAGTCAGAATTCTTATTTCTTTTGTACCTTAAAGACTTGAGAGAAAAAAGACTTTACACATATTCAGACAGACAGCACAAGGTTAGGGTCTCTGCTGATGAAGTCCTGAACATCAGAGGGTTAATGATGTCTGGTGGTTTAATGGCCTTTTAATGTGAAAATACTGACTCTAAGAAGAAAGTAGCCATTAGTGAAGGTTCGTTTTGATCGGTGGAAACAGCGTCACTTGCCCGAACGGGTCAGCAGCTCATAACCCTGGTGTGGTTGTTTTTTAACCTCACAGGCTGTGATATCGCTGTAATTTTCCATCAGTAGAAGCACAATTTACTACTGTGGATGTGACAGTGCAAACAGCTCTGCTGGAGATGAGTGGGGGTGTCAGCCTCTTTTTGCAGAATTGATTATTTTCATGTCATTCCATTAACTCTTTAATCTTTTGAGTTCTACAGATAATTGCTTCATAATTATGGTGTAAATATTTAATAGATCTACCCTTTTCACCGCTGATAATTAAAGAAATTCTCCTTTCTGTAGTACCTGCAGGGTCTGACACCCTTGGAGATGTTGCTGATCATATATCTCTGAGAAAAGTGGCAGTTTAATGTGGCCTTTCTTCTTGGCTGTACAGTTCTTAAGACCTTTTAACAAATCGATAAGAGGTATTCTTGTTTTCTGTGTGGATCTGATCCAGCTGTACCGGAGCTCTTTGATTAAATGTCAGGCTGTGGACGAGGTCTGTTTGACTTTTTATTCTTTCTTTGTGACTGGAAACCTTGTTTAACTTCGCTGGCATGTTTTTATTATTGCAGGTATATTACGCATTATAAGAGATTAATAACACCTAAATGAATGAATATAATAGCAAATATTCACTGGAGAAGCTGGGAAAAAGTTAAAAAGATTCAAAATTGATATTGGGTTAAGTCTGACTGCTGTGACATCATTCAAAGATGTTAGTGATGGGAGAGTTGGACTGCTGCATAAAGTTATCCCAGCTTATCCCAAGTATTCTCAGTGGCACCGGGTGTGCAGTCTGCATTGGCCAAGAAGTGTGTGAAAATCATGTCTCATGCTTACTGAACCACTCTTGCACAATCTGAGCCCAACGAATCCTGGCATCATTATCTTGGAATATGCTGACCAAATGAAGGAACATCTGATCACAAAACAATATTCTACTCTTTTCTTTACAATTTTTAATACACACACACACACACACACACACACACACACACACACACACACACACATATATGTATATTTTCATAGGCACGTGAGCTTGTGAAACATAATATATTTTTAATAATATATTTTTTTGACTAACACGACTTGAATGAATTTTCATTCATCCAAGTAATAAAAAAATTTTTAGCCAATGAAATATGAAAAAAATTTAAATTTCAATTAAAATTTTAATTATTAAAATGTATAAAATAAAATGACATTTTGACAGAACTTCAAAACAGATAATAAATAATAAATGAAATAGGCTTTAAAATAGTATTAAAAATAATAAACTAGTGTAGGGATTACATATGCAGATACACGCAGACATAAGTATAAAGTGATGATAAGTATGTGTTAAGCTCAGCTCCAACTCCTCATTATTACTAAAACAATTACAAATAAACTGTTTCCTTCATTTTTTTGTCCTTTTCTAATTTCTTCCCTAGTGATGCTGTTCGATCCATCACTCAAAGATTATTTTTTTAATTAATTTGTTAATAACGCGTTGCAATACTTGTTAATGGATGCCGAATTCAGAAACAGTACCAAATGATTCAGAAAGTGCCGTGTTACTACATTTCTGCCCGCAGGTGTCTTCACGGTGCAGGAGAAAACTATAAAGAGGTGCGCGGTTTTCCTGGAGTTTGGCCTCCTGCTGCCTCAGGTAAAATTGACTGTGCGCTCTTACCGGCACCCAGACTGCGTCCAGGGCTGTGTGACAGATTTAGCAGCTTCAGAAGCAGGCTGAAGTCTAATCAAAATATGATCGCACAGATAAGACAACTAAGCTGAGTCATAGAGAGGAAAAGTACGCGCTGAAGTTGGTGTCAGGTCGCGATATTCATTCATAAAACCAACTGAGCGAGCTAACGGTCCGCGCCGGCGCTAGCTTGCAGAACGAACTGGGGCACAGACGGACGGCAGCACTCACCCTGTCGATTCTCGCTCAGCTGTTTCTCAAACTCCTCGAAATCCGACATGATGTGTGTCACGCTGCTGTGAAAAGAAAAATACGGCGGCTCCGATGTGTCTGACGGGAAAGATGAAGCGACCTGTCCGCTCTGTCAGCGCAAAATCCAAGAGCTCCTCAGAGTCAAGATAGACTCACAGCATCCGGCAAGCCCTTCAAAATAAAATCAAGCGGAAGTTTAAAATTGTAACATTTAGCGGTCGCAAAAGAAGAAATTAAAATCCTAAAACAAAAAACAACATTGCATTTTATATTGTTTTTGTTGTTTTAAATCTTCCCCGTTATCAGTATTACTTTATTATTTTAAATTATTTACCTGCTGTTTTATTTATAGCTGGTATTTAGTCCTTTCAGCTTAAGTATGTCACACAGTGTTAGAACTCCTGAATTTTTTAACGTTTTGGTGCATTAATTTTCTGCACATTTCAAACATGTTACACATATCTTTGTTTTGGAATGACTTTTAGGACATAGCTTACCTGACGTGGACTTCAGTGAACACTGAGCAACATTTTCTTCTTTTCTTCATCCCCACAGTTGCCAAGTTATTGAGTCCACCTGGTGGTCTGCTGCTTTTAAAGTCCTGTTAGCACCAGGATTGTGGTTCAAAACTTGACTCAGTATCTTTAAAATAGCACATCAGGTTATCAGATTTCATCTCTGTTAGAGCTTGTGTCATACTAAAGACACATAGGCCAATTCATATCTGGTCCACCCGCTGACCTTAGTGTAAAAACACTAACACAACATTAATTTGGGATTTGTAGGTTTTCACATCAGAAGTTGAGGCCGTACACATAAACTACAAGATCAAAGGTTTTTTATATTTGCACCTGTTTTACTAATGTTTCCCACAAGCTTTCAGCTTCAGGTATTAGATAAAATGTGATAAACAACATCAAAGATTGATGATTTTGCCTTTACATAACACAACTACTACAGCAGTAGAGGCTGAGCTCGTGCTTAGCTGTTACTCGTTAAAATTTTACTGATTCATTGATTTGTTGAGGCCTTAATGTGACCCAGTGTAGGTGATAAGGCCATATTCATCACGATTAAACATGATAGTTTTAGTTTTATTATTTATTGATGGATACCAATATAACACACCTGGGGCTCTTGATCCCAGCTTCAGTGTAAGTTGTAGTAAAATTGAATTTGAATCCCTTATTTCAGGTAAAATGCAACCTGCAAGATAAGAACCACAGACCTCGGGATGCTTAGAAATACTTACAGTATGTGTGCTGTTTTATGCAGCAATGCGTAATTATTTATGGGTCACAGAAGAGGGGCAGCCTCCTGTAGCCAGTAGGAGCCCCATCTCCTCCCCACCTGTCATTCTAAACATACCATGTTGACAACATACATGGAAAATAACTGACTCAGCTGTGCTGCTATTAAAAGAGCTCAAATCCTAAAGTATTGCAATGCCTGGCCGGTTGGGCTGCTGTCATGTCACAGGAGCTGTGCTGAGCAGAGCAGCTACAGCTCCTCAGGAGAGGAATTAAACTCGACTACCTGCAGAGGCCCAGGAAGCGGTAAGCGGTGGCTGCTAATTCAATTCCTTGCAAATGTCGAGGTTGGGTGGCTCAGCCACTCAGAAATGAGCTGCTCATTATAATCTAGCTGTGAGTTATGCAAAGTGCAGAGACCATGTGAGGACGGTGGGGAAACTTTGCTTTAATGTAAAATTCGACCGCAGACTCAGAAGGCAGAGGGACTGAGAAGTGCTCCGTTATTTCCCGACTTTGTTTTGGAATAACCTGGCGAGTCCGGGGTGACACTGAGCCTTTGTGAGGGCCACAGCATCTATTTTTAGTGCAGTGTATTTTTAGAAAACTCTTCTTGGACGAACAGCCAGTGCTTGGCATGGTGAGCCTTAACTGAAAGGTTATCCTCAAATTCCTGGTTGGATACAACATGCGAGTGTCTGTCTTCACTGCCAGATGAGAAATGTGTAGAGTTAACGGTGGTATGAGGTGGCCAGTGGACTAAACACCAAGTAACTTTACACTGAAGTCATTTTGTGTCTTTTTGTTGCTGTTTTTTGTGCATTTGTCGTACTTTCAATCTCAGTCACCAAAGACTGAGTACAGAGTAATCCAGACTCACACTGGACCTGTTGTCATTTTGTCTCTTTTCACAACTTTTTTTTTCTTGTGTCTGTTTGCTTTTTTATATTTGTGATTGTGTTTTATCTCGTCATTTTTTTCTCTTTGTTTAAACTAATTTTGTGTCTCTCTGTTGTTATATTTTTTTGTTTTGCAGTTGCCTTTTGTGTGCGTCGGTTGGATAAATATCTGTTCCTTTGTTATTTTTCTCTTTTCCTGCAACTTTGTCTTTTCATTGCTTTTTTGTGCATTTGCTTTGCAGTTTTTTCTTTCTTAGTTTTCCCCTGTTGTGATTTTTTTGTGTTTTGTGTTCTAGTGTTTACTGTCATTTTTGTCTCTTATTGCAGGCTTGTTTTTTTCTCTCTTTGTAGTAACTTTTTGTATCTTTTTGTTGCCATTTTTATCTTTTGCGCTACATAAACAGTATAAATGATGGATGTACCTAGAGTGACGTCATCCACTGGTTTCTGAGGTCGTGTTTTTAAGCCTCGAGATGAGCATTTTCTCCGTTGCCATCTTGGTTTAAAAAAAGTGGATGTGATGAGGACGAGCAGGTCCAACTGTCAGACGATCACTGGCTAGTGGTTATCACAGATATGGTAACCCATCCAGGGATCTGGCATCATTTCCTAATGCCTAACTCTAACCCTACGATTCACAAGACAAATTTGTTTAAAGACTTTAAATAATAGTGTGAAAAGCTGGACTTGATATCAAGTAGTTGATGAGAACTTGTGTATAAATATTAAAATATCCAAGTATACTGTCTGTACAGAAGAAAGACATTAATGATCTCTCATTTGTCTTTATTTTGATTACTGGTGTAAGAACGTGGTTTAAAAACTCTTCTCTGTTTTTGTTTCAGAGTCATAAGAACACATAGTTAGACTTAAAAAAGGTTGTAAAGGGTGAGATGGATTCCAATGTAACAGAGCCGGAGAGCTTCTGGGTATGAAATGCATGTAATGACTCACTTCCATCCCATCTCATCTGCATCAGTAAAATTCAAATAATATTCAATTTAAAACATAAATCCATGTTTCAGACTTGAAACATGCTTTTTGTGCCTAACCACGAGTTCAAGAGCATTTGTGGCTGTAAATGAGCACCTACCAGCACCTGTACAGCTCACACAGCAGCTGGAGTCCCATTGTCGTTGCTAAGACGCAGAACAAAACCCTGACAAAAAGGCAGAATTACATTTTTACACTTTGGTAATTGTACTGACTGCCAACCGAGGTCATTAGAGGACTGATTTTTCTCGGCTAGACTAACAGTTTCCCACGCTGTGTTAGAGGTGTGTCTGTGTTTCCTCAACATTTTGTCAACAAAATGTCAAACGTTTGACATATATCAAATATCTAGAAAGAATCATCCTTTAATTTCATTCCTACATGTTACAACTAAAACATTTTTCAGGAGATGGACTCGACGTGGACCACCACTGTGCTCCTGGTGCCCTGCGTGGTCCTGCTAACTGCTGGATTTTTCTACCTCTATGGTGTAATCATGGGACTGTTGTCCAAAAAGTCTGTACGCAACAAGGTGGTGGTTATAACTGATGCTTTATCTGGGCTTGGAAAAGGTAACACACACACACACACACACACACACACACACACACACACACACACACACACACACACACACACACACACACACACACACTTTGGTAATTTTAGGTGAACCTTTTCACAGCATCTTTAAACTGAACTTGGTTTCTTAGCAGTTCTGTATGTTGTGTGAAGAGTGTGCAGGCGTGTTTCACAAAGGAGGCGCGAGGCTGATCCTCTGCGGGAAAAACTGGGAGAAACTCGAAGAACTCGCTGATGATTTGGCAAATTCTTCGGATCCAACAGTGGTAAGTCTAAAAGCACTGAAATTAGAGATTATAACAGCTCGTAGACCGAAGGACCGTTGACAAAGTACTCAGTGAAGTACACTATATTGCCAAAAGTATTCACTCACCCATCCAAATCATTGAATTCAGGTGTTCCAATCACATTCATGACCACAGGTGTAAAAAACCTAGGCATGTAGAGTGATCCCAACTTTGTGCAAACAGTTTGGGGATGGCCCCTTCCAGTTCCAACATGGCTGGGCACCTGTCCACAAGTCTGTGCTGGAGACTTGTGAAATGGATGAGCAAGTTTGGTGTGGGAGAACTTGACTGGCACAGTCCTGACCTCAACCTGACAGAACACCTGTGAGATGAATTACAGTGTAGCCTGTGACGCAAGCCTTCTCGTCCGACATCAGTGTCTGACTTCACAAATGGGCCTCTTGAAGCATAGTCAAAAATTCCCAGAAACAATTCTAAACCTTGTGGAACGCCGTCCCAGAAGAGTTGAAGCTGTTGTGGTTGCAAAGACTAGCCCAACATCTCAGTAAACTCTGTGGATTAACAATGGGATGTCAGACGAGAAAAATCCTTTGGGCAATATATTGAATCAGAACACTGTAAAAGATGTAATCACTAATAATGTGCAGTAAAGCTTCCTTTTCACTGGCATTTATTACCAGGCTGCATTTTTTGCTGGTGGAGCTGCTCTTAGGGTCTTTGGTGGATTGTAAATGTCAAAGTAATTTAAAAAATGAAGAAGTGAAAACTTACATTTTCTTCCCTTTTAAGATGATGAAACATTTTTGAATTAACTTGAACCACCTTTTCAGAATTACTAGGCTCCACATAAAAAGAGTAATTTCAGAGTTTTTGCTGTTCAGTATAATCAGAGTTTGCAGTGTGAAATAATGACTTAAATGTTTGAATGCAACAAAGCCAGAGAGCTTCTGAGTATGAGACACCCGTTTTTCATATAATCACATTATGTGAAAATCACCTTAATCGGATCCTAATTAAGGGTTTGACTGAAAAGATCAAAGTGAAGCGACAGATGTGCATGAAGACTTGATGTTTCATGAGCTTCAAGCTCTTTTATCAAAGCTTCATAGATAATATGAACCCTCAACGGTCCTAGAACCTGTATCTTTTCTGACCCTTAATAGGCCAATCGAAAAGCTCTAACTCTCGTCACGATGTGCTTCCCTCTCGCATTATCAAAAATGCCCTGAACACTATAGGACCCTGCATCTCACTTCTAATGAATTCATCCCTCTTATCAGGCTAACCCTCGCCAACCTTCATTGGCTCCCCGTCAAATACCGTATGGTTTTTAAAATCCTTTTATACACTTTTGAAATTTTAAATAAATTGGCACCCAGCTACTTAATCGACCTCCTTGACCTATACATCCCCACGAGAGCACTCAGATCCTCTAACCAGGGGCTCTTAATGCAACCAATGTCTCGACGGAGGAGTAGGGGGGATCGTGCTTTTGCTTTTGCCCAAAACTCTGGAACAGTTTGCCGATTGATGTCCGTGCGTCGGAATCCATCCAATCCTTTAAATCACGTTTAAAAACCCACCTGTTTAAGCTTGCCTTCCAAACAACTTGGTTTTTAACTTTTCCCTGGTTCATGCTTGTTGCCACGTCACCATCTTATAACTGTATATCTTTTGCTGATAATTGTATTTTCCTGCTCCTTTACTGCTGTAACCCCGCAAATGCGGCTTGTCTGTGAAACACTTTGATGTACCTGAGACTTTTAAATGTGCTATAAAAATAAAATTGAAACAGAAACTGAACTGAATATCATAGATAACTACAGCATCAGGAAAACTAGGAAAACACTAAGAATTTACTGGGGGAAAAGAGGTAGAGCAGACAGTGAAGACAACAGTTATGAATATACAAAGACTGAATACAGGTGGAAACAGGTGGAAACAATCAAGGGATAACAAGATAAAGACAATAAAGCTAAAGACAGACAGCACAAAAACTACCAAAATAAAACAGGAAGTAAAACAGGGAATAAACAAATCACTGGGGCACAGGGGAGGCAGGATAAACAGAAACTCAAGTAATTACATAAAAACAAAACCACAACCAAGAAGAGAACAAAACTCAAACATGTGACTACAAACATAAAGAAACCAACCAGGAAACAACTTATAAGAATACAAATCTCAAAACATCACCACACAAAAATCCCAAAATTAAAACCACAAATCAGGCACAAAATCCTGACATGATATTCTTAGCGTAAAGAATGATAACATGAAGCCAACACTTCAGTGCATTTTGTCAATAAGAAAAAAAATTCTTCCACTTACACAACAGGAATTAAGAAGACTCGAATATAAATTGGCTGTTGTTCTACTGTCACATCACTTCCTGTGACCACTATTTGGCTTTATAGAACAGCCACTAATGTTGCTGCAGGTCACAGAGCCCACCGTGCAAATGTCACACATGATGCTACACTGAAATTCACCGTAGCACCACACCCGTCAAGAAAAACTCAAAACCTTCCACATTTGTTCTTCTAAAGACTTTTGTGTATGAAACACAAACAATTAATTATATTATTTCTGTCTCTGCACATTTATGTAAATTCTGTGTTTTTCAGCATGTTAGCTATTATTACTGCTATTACTATTACTACTAATAATAAACAGATTTTAATTGCTCAAATCATAAGTACTGCATTACAAGTGAAAGTAAATGAGATGTAGTCACCATACAGCACTTTGCTGCCATGCAGACCTCCTCTGCTGTTTCTCCTCTTCAGACGTTTCCTCCTAAGTTGGTGCTGCTGGATTTTGGAGATACGGACAGCATGCCTGAGGCAATCGCAGAGATCCTGGACTGTTATGGGTGCCTGGATATTATTATCTTTAACAGCAGCATGAAGGTGAAAGCTCCAGCACAGACTGTGTCTCTGGAGGTGGACAAACTGCTGATGGACAACAACTACTTTGGGCCCGTCACTCTGGCTAAAGGTAGATGATGGGAACATGTTCAACTTTGACCTTCTAAGGGTGAGACGATGAAGGCTGAATTTCTCTTTCAGGCGTGCTGGCCTCCATGATCTCCAGGAGAAGTGGTCACCTGCTGCTGGTTAACAGCATCCAAGGGAGACTAGCTGTGCCTTTTCGCAGTACCTGTGAGTTTTTAAATTCCCTTTTTCATGAAACATCAGATAACTTCAGTCTGCATAATGTTCGTATTACAAAAACTGGTTTTAGTTTATGGTGAACTCATTTGCTGTATGTTGAGGTAATCTGTTGTAAAACTGCTTAAACTGTTTCTGTGGAAACAACAGAAACGTTAGTTCAGTCTGTATTTTGTTTCTGATAAGTTACAAAGCAAACTCGAGATTTTTGACAAGAATCAACAGTTCTAATTACTCATTTCTTTGATATTTGGTAACAGCAGAATTAATAATAATCTTAGTAGCTAAATGCAAGAAATGGTGATGTGTTATTTTCTCTATTTTTCTGCCAATAGTTTTTCTCAATATTGCACATAAACACAAAAAAATATGAAAAAAATATCTAAGTTACTAAAAATTATATATATTTGAAAAATATTATTTTATTGAAAAAAATTCAAATTGGTATGAAGAAAGTTCATTTTAAATAACTAATGTTAGCCTAACGCTAACATTGAGTTACCATTAACACTTAGCATTAAGCAGCAAGTATTCAGATTTGGACTTTTTTTTATATATTTATTAAAAATGACTTAAAACAATCCATTATCAAAGTTTTCAGACTCCTTCAAAGACGATATTTAAAAATTTGAATGTAAACATTTTAAAATTCCAGTGCAGAGTTTAGATTAGATTAGAAAACAAGTTTAGATTATTCCTGCTGTTTCCTCAGAGAAGATGATGACAGGTTTCACTCTGTATCTTAGACGCAGCCTCTAAACACGCTGTTCAGGCCTTCTTTGACTGCCTGAGAGCGGAGGTGGAGGAGTACGGCATCTCCGTCAGCACCATCAGCCACAACTTCATCAGCTGCTCTGCGTCTGGAGCCCCAGCCACCTCCAAATCCCTGTGGTCGTGTGAGTAACTCAGAGGAGGCAAGACAGATGTTCAAACACTTCTTTTATTGTTGAAAATGCTGAGTGTTATTTCCTCTTCCTGTCGGCTCACTGCAGTGTTGTACACTAAGAAGCCCCTCGGCGTTTCTCCTGATGAAGCCGCCGCGGAGATTGTGAAGACTTTAAACAATAAGAGGAAAGAGGTGGTGATTGCTCCCTCGCTCCCTAAGATGGCCATTTACGCCAGGTCCTTTTTCCCAAATGTGTTCTTTGCTGTGATTGGTGCAGGGGTGAAGAACGCCGCCATCGCCGCTGAGATGTAGATACTGCCTCAGCACCGGGATGATGGGACACATGACATGAGGTTTTTAACAAATCAGTGGAAGTCAAAGATATTTTAATGATCATTTGATGTTCGTGCGCATGGCGCATCAGTTCCAGATTTAATCCACATCACATTATCTGTTGCTGTTGGTTTAATTGAATTGTGGGAAAATCAGCGATATGATTTTCATGAATCATGAAGCTGCCACACAGAGTGGGGGCCAACAGGGGTCCAACAACAAATGTTTGCCTCTGAGCTCCTAAGTGGGTAAATCCAGCCTGTGGATTAGTGTTTTGTCTTATACTCAGATTTGTGTGTAAAATATTGATTTTCTTCATTTTAATAAACAGAGTTTCCTTAAAACTCAACAATCAGGAGTTACAGGACTTACAGCACTTACTCATATTTATAAATGTTCACTTCTTCTTTAGTTTTCATAGCAGTTCTATCAGAAGGTGACGTATTGAAGAGATTTTGCATCTGTTGCCGAATTTATGGACCTATTGCTGTAGGTTGTTGTTGTTTTTTTTTGTTTTTTTTTAAAAAAAGGCTTGTTAACATATTATTGTTGGCACCGAGATCATATGTAAGACTATGGACAAATGTTATTTTACAAGTTTGGAATTTTCACATGATCTTAGAAAGAATTTCCTGAAAATGACCACATAATTTAGTACTTATTATGGCGACAATGGAATTTTTATTGTATTTAAACTATAATCAAAGTATTAACTATGAAATATTATTAAAATATGAACTATTTACTCATTATTCATTCATCATGAAATGTGTCATTTACTGTATGAGTCATGGTTTGAAGTGTAATAATTACTTTCACTACTGCCACTGAAAATAAACTGTACAAATAACAAGCTTGCTAAAAGCTCAAAATTTCAAATTATTTCTGAATAAGTTGACATTTCAAGAAACTAACTTGAAATTTGTAACTTCAGAGTGGCGTTTTTTTTTTCAAGAAGAAGAAACCAGCTTCCATACCTTACTGACTAAATCTCACAGAGAACTTAAAATTGTATCTATATCTATAGATATAGATATATATGTTTATACATATACATATATATATATGTATTTACTGCTCTATAATTTACGCCACACTTTGGAAATGTTTGTACTTACTTGATTCAAATTAACAGATACATTTACAAACAGCTTTTACATGAAAGATGTTATTGAGCTTTAACAGAATGCTTGGAAATAAGATACAGAAATATTTTCATATTTGGGTTCATGTTTATGATCGAAATAGTTAGGGATGTTTCATGGTCATGAAATTTATGACTGTGAAGAAACACACAGCTATATAAATATATCCTGGCTGCTTTTGTCCGAGGTGCTCTTTGAAATAAAATCACTGGGTTAAATAAATCAATCATCTTGAAACACCTCTGGGCTCTTAATTGAACAGTTATTTTGAAGAAAAATCGAAATTAATTTGAACTTGAATTTCAATTGTGGGACATAAAAACTTCATGCATGGAACAATTATTCTTAAAAATCATTTTATAAACTCTGTTCCCAACCACAGATGTCAACTTGTGGTTCTTTCAGTGCCAAATTTCTCTCTTATAATGTCTCTCAGTAGAGAGTTACAGAAATGGAACCAATAATTATAAAAAATACTAGGATTACTGTTCTGATATGACAGTTTTCAGTGAAATGAATATCCTATGAATCCCATTATTTTGTTTTGAAGGTCAAAGGAATTTAATGATTAACTCCTGCCTCATGGCGCACTCTGGCGGACAAGTCAGAGAAGACCTGATCGTCGACGCGCTGTCGTGTTTTAGCTGTTTATTTAATTTAATTTTTTAAAATAAATGGCTTTTAGAATACTTTCCAGAGTCTGTACACTGAGTCACGGACTGAAATCCTCTCAGACCGCCTTCAGTACGTTAAGCTCCGCCGGCAGTTTAAAGGTTGAACATGACCGACGTAACCAGCGCTTCACGGTCACCGCAGGCAGCAGTACTGGTAAGCACACAGCCCGAGTTGCAGCTCCCCTTCCCGCGTAGAGCCTCTAAGAGAGCCCGAGGTGTCGTCGCGGCCTGATGGAGGACATTTGAGATGATTAATTATTTTAAATTCAATATTGTGTTGTGTGATGTGTTTCTCTTTCAGTTGTTTATTTGGATCCCTCTCACACATAAATCCCTCTCACACATAAATTGTGTGTAGCAATCAGAGCGCTCAGCGAAATTCCATTTAAAAATGTGTGTTTTAATGGTTTCTTTGGTTAAAGTCAGCTTCTTTTTAACCCATATCAATGTCATATATTTTAAAGGGTTCAGTGCCACTTAGCTAAGAGATCGGCATACTTATTGTGATCTGTACTAATGTATTTTGGTGAAATCTTTGCTAAGTCAAGACCTAGCACAACAAGTTGCAGGGGAGAAGTTGGGGTTTAAATTAAGGTGTTTTTGATGGGAATTTGGTATTTTCTGTTCCAACTGATTTAATTTTGCTGAAAGTTTCACAAGTTCCCCATTTGAAAGAAAATGAGCTGTATTACTTTTTATGAAATAGCATGAGATAATTTAATCTAGGAAATACAAAAATCATGTGGTGATTTTTAATTTTTTTTTTTTCTTCCTATAAGCATCTGCTTAATATTATTGTAATAAGGAGCCATTACTGTCCTCTTTCTAGCGGACCATGAATGTGGGGTGCTGAAATACAGATTCACTGGGGAGAAGGAGGTGGACCTGATGTCGACCTTCGTACCCGAGACATACAGGGGCCATGGTGTTGCAGCTCTGCTGTCGAGGGTAAAACTCCAGGTGTCAGTCAACTCGTTTCAGGTCATACGTGATTTTTTTCTGAGTAGTTTTAATGTTTGTTTTGTTTCTTAACAGGCTGCGCTGGACTTTGTGGTTGAAGAGAACTTAAAGGCTCATGTCTCCTGCTTGTACATAAAGAAGTACGTTGAAGAACAACCAGAGCAGAGATATAAAGAGTTTGTCATCACTTGACTGCAGCTTCTATGGCACCTACATGCTGTATGTCTGTGAAGGTTCTCAGTCATCCAGGTCTTCATAGTTTAAGGAGTCCAGACGCTTTTCTTTCCAAGCTCCTTAGACTACATACTGTAATTCTACCTCTAATTAACTACACTCGCACAGTGTGCAATGTACAATTGAGAAATCTCACATCATTCAATGTACATTTAAACAATTTTAAATGTAATGTGGACTATATTTGGATAAAATAACCAAAAATATAATTAAACCAATGGGTTGAAGGTGATATTTGTATTATAATAAGAACAGTTTAACAGATAAACTGTGATTCTTTTAAAAATATCAGACTGTGTGCATGCATGACTGAATTTTCTACCAATAAAATTCATTAAAATGTAATTAAAAACCTTTGTTATACTATACAAGCGTATTATTATATTATACATGCAGAATTATGTAGTTGATATGTAGAGTAAATAATACAATTTTTATATTAAAAAGTTTACATAAAGGGACATCTGCTCATTTCCACATGTATATTTATTCCTGGACCCCACTAGAGTAGCTTTGCATGAGTCACAGTTCAAAATAAGTTTTATTTATCTCATACTAGGCTTTGGTGTGACCCCTGACTTCATGCTCTGTTTGAAAGAAGCTTTCTGATGATTGGCTGCCCCACATAAACAGCAGATGAGTGGGACTTCAGGGTTGATTGACCATAAAGTGGATATCCCCACTGTATGAGATCATACAGAGGCAAGCGTGGGGAAAAAACCAAAACAAACTAGTAGAGTCTGAGATTTTAATTTACAGGAATTACTTTTATATACACTGACCTCATAATTTGACACTGTGGCCAGAGACTTTATGTATTTCTGTCTGTATATTAAGAAGGCAGTGTAGGTCCTAATCTGCAGTTAACAGAAGTGGACTAAAGCTAATTAGTGCAGTTGATTTAATTTTTCCTGGCTGATCAATCCAGCTTTAGACTGAGAGATTGCTTGCAATTAGCATAAATAGTAACTAATCACAGAATCATGCAGAGGCAAAAGTAGAAAAGACTTTGTAAACCTTAGTGTTTAAAGTATCCTATCTCACATGTATTACTTGTACATACTTTGACCTCTTTGGTTGAAACTTTGGCCATGTGTAATACAAACCATATGGAACTAAGACGCAGTGTAATGTAGAAGCTTGTTTAGGTATCAATGTTATTAGTAATATAACTCTGTTATAGTGAGCCTACGTTAATAAATGCAGCAGAATTAATCACAAAAAGAAAGATTGTGGGGAAAATGGGCTCCGGTGTTACCACGAGCCTCGAATCACAGATGAAATCAGCGTGTTTGGCGAGCACAGCTGGATTCTCGCCAGCTGATGAGATTAATTCCCCCACAGCAACAGCAGCAGCAGCATGACAAGAGATTGGCCACAATCGAGCGTTTAATTGGGTTTGCTTGCTAGTTTTTAGAAGAGCAACAAAGTCAGTGAAAAGCACAGCTGTATTTAATTTCATCTTCATTACATCCTCAGTGACACAAACTGTGAGCTCGAGAGATATTGTGCTTTTTTTATTGTCTGCTTTTGTTCCAACAGATGTCAATCTTACTCCTGTAAACATGTTTTCCTGCACTTCTGTGTCGGCCTGATGCTGTCAGCGTTTGAGTTACAGCATGTCTCACATCAAAAGTACCAGAGTATAAAGACAGCAGCTGTTTCAGGGGAGTTGACAGAAAAGGCAAATTCCTGATGTAACATCTTATCAAGAGATGTTCTTTAAAAAAAACAAATCCTGAACAGTCAGTCGTGGAGAATATCTACAAACTTTGCAGCTGTCTTGGGTTTTTTCATTGTTGGAGTGGCTGTTTTGTGGTTGTTTCACAGGTTCAGTGGTTGTTTTGTATGTCTTGGCAGACATTTGTGTCCCAGTTTGCTATTTGACATTAATTTGTCATCTTTTTAAAATCTTTTATAGCTGACCGACTGTCCAACATCAGATGTTACTGGACACTTCAAACAGAGTCTAGTCTGTGCAGGTAGACCTGCGGTGATTCGGCGATACGTCCCTGATGGTACAGAATGAGGTAATTTTCTCTTCCTCTTGCTGAGCAGATCATTGAGCCTCGTTCTTCAGAGGACAGTTTGATCAAACATAAATGAAACAGGCTGGCTCAGCAGAAGCTAAAGCAGAAATGAAGGATCAGTCTTTCATCAGGAGCATTTACATCCAGTTTAGTGGGAAATGTAGCCCGTTTCCCTTCCCCACTTCTCACATTATCTTTTTTAAGAACCAGACACATCTGGTGTGTGGAGAGGAACAAAATATACAAAAAAAGTCCTGAAGTAAATATTTAAATCCAAGAACAAGAGTCAGTGTAGGTCCAGGAAATCAACCCCAGAAACGTTTCCATCTTTAACAGTACGCCTCTCCTTGTGGTTCTGGTACATTGTCCATTTCGACCTCGTACGCTGTTCCTGTGGACGGCTTGTGGCCATTGACCGGCAGTTCTAGAGGTGCCTCGGCATCAACCGGCACAGTAGTCAGGTACATGTCCCACATCTGCTCGGGGACGTTCATCTCCATCATGTTCTGCTTTATCATCAGGCTCTTCTCGATGTTCCGCCGTTTGTATTTAAACTCGATGATTGTCTTTGTGTAGCGGTTCAGTGCCGTCACTGCAGACCCCATGCAGGTGCCGAAAGAGCCCCATGCTAATCTGTGGAGAGGGTTAAAAAGAGGGTTAGCCTACTGCTGAGCTGCAGCTGTAAGAACCCCAACAATAAACACGGCTCTACACAGACGTACCAGCAGTGTTGTTTGTGCTGTGTGCTATTTTAGTTTACAATCAAGAACTGGTAAAATGTAATCCCATTCCCAGGGCTTCTGTCGCCTTCCAACTCAGTAGTTGTAACTGTATCCAGTCCTACGGATATAACCAATCGTGTCAGCTACCTTGACAGCCGAGAGACAGACCTTTGCATTGACGACTTTTCAGTAACAAGTCCTCAGCTAATAAACATGCTCTTGATACTCCTCTTCTTCTGACTCTAACACTGATTATAATCTTCAGCTGTTTTTAGTATGACCCAAAATTAGCGATTGGGCCCATGAACTCACCAGCAAAGCATTTACTGAGTCTTTATTGTGAATAACTGGAATACATGCATCCATACACTGCAGTCATAATATCAACCCATCTGTCAACAAAAATAAAAACACAAATGGCAAAACTAAAACTCCCAGATTTTTGGGCAGGTATGCAACACTGCACAGTGTAGCAACAGACATGCCAAATCCTTCTCTTTAAATGTGCCCGGTACCCTTCATCTTCATTGTTCAGTGAGTACCATCTCTTCTGCACATAATCGCGTAGTTTTGGTGCAGTTAGTGAAAGCCAGTTGAACAATCTGACTGTTCCAGGTGCTCCTAATCAAATGTACCAATTAAAATGATCAAAAAGTGTGAGAATTTTTGTAAAAGCTGACGTTTTGGAAGTTTTTCATTCATGTGAAATACGTAAGTAATGCCACAACCAGGTATGGGCATCCCAGCAAATTCATCCCATGGTCAGACCGTGCAATGCTCAGAAAAGTGCAAAAATCCACAGAGCTAAAACTCACTTAAAGTTCATGACAGCAAAATTAAAAACATTCTGAACGACTATTGTGTGCAAAGGTTGCCAGCACAAAGCATGTTCTCTCTAAAAAGAACATGGCAGCATGGCTTAGGATTGCAGAGGTCAATCTGAACCAACCACAAGACTTCTGGAACAATGTCCTGTAGTTGACCATAATGCACAGCGCCACATTTAGAGAAAAACAAACACTGCATATCAACACAAACACTCCATACCAACTGTAAGCACAGTGGTGCAGGGGTTATGATTTAAGCTTGTTTTGACAGGTAAAAATCTTGGCCCAAGCTGCACCATACAACAGTTTATTATTTCAAACACAGGAGCAAAACTACAATAGAATGGCTATAAAAAGAAGAATCGAGGTGCTGTACCTGTGCAGAAATGTGAATGGGAAAGCATGCCTCACCTCAGAAGTGTGACTCCTGGAAACATAAACTACTGTTACAACCTCAGAAAGAGTCTGCTAGAGTTTGGCTGTGGACAGTAGAACCACTGTCTACCAATGTCCGGTTCATCATGGAATTTTGAACTCAGTTAAACCGACAATACTGCTGCCTAGCTGACTGATCGAGCGCCTGCATACAATACGGTGGCTGTGGATGAGTCTCAAGCCAGAGAGGCAAAAGATTGTTTAGAAAATGGAAGGTAGTGAGCCTTAATTTGGGCCGTGATTATTTGATCTAGTGAGTAAAAATGTCAAAACAGCCAGAGATGAAGGTTAAAGTTGCTTACAAATAAGACCAGCTGTAGTCCCATGTTTTGGGTCTCCAATCTTCTGGCCCGGTGGCAACAGCCAGCTGGAATATGGTAGTAAACATCATGTGGGCCACCATCCCACAAAGGCCTGAGAACAAAAAAAGATAAAAAGACACCAAGTCAACAAGTGACTGCTCATTCAAACCGCAAAAAAAGACCAAAACTAAATTTAATAGAGTTGGGTTTGTGAATCTGTGACAACCGAGAGAGGACCATACTGATGGCTCTTTATCGTAAAAGTTATATGAAGCAATTTATTTGTGTATAAGATTAATATTTGGTTCTTTTAGAGGCTCGTAGTGCTAAAGTATGAGTAAAAGATCACCTGTTTTAACATGGGAGTAGACAGATCCCTACTTCTTTAAGATTCCAATCTTTCCAGTTTTTATGCTGGATTTTTATGTTTTTCCTGCTAATATGTTTTTGTGTTATTTGTTTTCTATGCCTTTTGTCTTTTCAATGTTTTTTTTATCCTAATGTTAATCTTGTTATGCTAATGTAGTGTTAGCATAACAAATTAAGTGTTTTAATACTGATATAATGTATTTCTGTTTTTAATAGAAATACATTGGTTTTCTAAAAATAATTTTTATGAATTAGGAGGGGTAAGAAAATAGAATTTAGTTGAATATGAACTGCACGGCCCCTTAGTTCCAGTTAATGAAACTCTTATTGATTCAACATATCAAGAAAATTTCATGGTCCCAACTTTGTGGGAACAGTTTGGGAATGGCCCCTTCCTGCTCCAGCATGACTGCACAGCAGTGCACAAAGCAAGCTCAAGAACAGTTTCCTCCCAAAAGCCATAACCATAAACACAGTTCCACCCCCCATTCCAAGGACTTCCTTCTATAAACCACCACCGTGCAATATTTAATTCTACGTGCAATAACTCAAACTATATATACATAACACTATTTATTTACATATTTATTTCCTTTTTTTACTGGATTGTATATTTGTACATTTTATATATTTTTTTCTCTAAATACTGTTCATATGTATATAATGCTGCA